TGAGCGGCTTAGCTATTTTAATTTTAATTGTAATTCTGAGAATTTGGTTTATTAATTGATGTTAGGACATGGAGAGGTTTAGAGGTTTACATGAAGAAACGTATACAGTAATACAACAGACTCGGTTTTGTTTTAATCACATAGGTTTCCCCACTTTACCACGAATCTGAGTACTGTCGCCATATCTGAGGGTTGGCGACCACAGTCCTCCACTCTAAACGTTCTCAGTCTGTTTTTGCCAATCCTCTTATAGTTTTGTATCTCTCTGGGGACCGAGTTAATAATTTCATCCCAGTCTCTACCTTCCCCTGGTCCTCCTACCCTAAACTTTGCCCATTAATATTTATTATCCCATCATCACTAATTATGTGAACAAAGTAGCCTATCTCCATTTTCTTTTTCTGTACATGTCAAGTATTTCTTAAAAAAAAATTAATCTTAGTACTTCATTTGTTTTCTTGTCAGTAAGGCTTATTCTTAGCATTAGCCTAACACCACATTTCAAAGGCCCCCAACCTCTTTCTGGTGTCTGCTGTAAGTGTCCACGCTTCTGAGCCATACATCAGTCTTTGCCATATATACTGTAACCTTTCAGCAGCAGCCCTTTTCTTAAAATGAAGTTAATGTCCCTTTTCAATTGGTCTTTTAGATTATTAAATGCTGTTTTTACTTGCCCTATTCTTAATTCATCCTTACATCACAGCTATATGTTACGACGAATAACCCCTTAATGTCATGGCTTAGGGAAGTTGTCATTCATAGCTTTATTGATAGTGTTTAACCCTTATCATCTGTTGCTGTAAGGTAGTGCGTTAAATATTGGGCCTTTCCGTTGATCCACCCAACCATACCACGAACTTTAAATTAGTTCGTTATAAAAACAAATAATATTATGCCATGCGTATGAAAATGTAGTAGTACAGTATATTGTAAAGCCAAGCTCTAGGAAGTCTGGAAACTTACCTCGCCTTTATTTTCCGCTTATCGGTTTATCCGGTTTTGGCTTCGGAACTATAAATTGCTTTTGAGATATTGGGTTGCCCCCTGAACTTATATTATTTGTTTAGTGATAACTGAATCAGGTTTAGAATCTGTTTATGGAGAGTGTTTGTCGCCCTCTTCTCGGCTTCGGCGCAATAACATGCAGCCCCACACTGATTATGGTTGGTGCTGGTGTGTTGGGATATATTCCAAGAATTACAATTTTATTTTACACTTCATCTCTCTCTCTCGCTCTTAGGTGAACAATTTTTTTATTAATATTTGAGAGAAACTGCATGGGTTTCATTTGTGTGTGTTGGCGTGCGGCTGTGAGGGAATATGTTGGACCTGCGTGATAAGATTAGTGGGTAGGGTGTTGGTCATGCTCCACGCACACATCCATCATCTTACCTCTCGTGTTCTCTCACAAAACTCTGCCAAATCTGACTTGACCTAACCAAACCTAACTCATAATTTAGAGAGCTATTGTTACAGTCAATATAAACTGCACATGGCATAAGAGGGTACAGTACACGGTGGTAATAGGATTTGAAAAACTAATTTTCGTGGAATTTAATAAATTTTGTTTAAGCCTTTGCTAGCAACAGCAGATTCCTTCCGCCCATTCTTTAATCAACCTAATACTTGCTTGCATGACCTTATTGATACAGTACATGCTTTTCACGATTATTATTATTATTATTATTATTGACTTGTATTTAACTTGGGGCTTTACGCAGGCCACCTTGTGTAGCTATAATCCCACCAGTTGTGATAAAACTTTAACCAAACGTGCAACAAAGCTCTTACATCAGTTTACATCTCGAGTAATTACAGGTCTTTAAACAATAGAAACTTCATCATCAAGTGGTTTATGGGGGGTTAACGGGTGCACTTGTGTTAATAATAATAATAATAATAATAATAATAATAATAATAAACGGTTTATTAATAGAGTTGCAGTCGGTGGCTGAAAATATACAAACTTACATTTGATTTAGACATAATGATATGCGTTGAATACATTTACAGGGCTGTACAGTACATAAATCAGTATGTATACTATGCTGGCGGGCAACTGAAAAGGTATAAGGATAGTCCTAAGACAAACCTGAAAAAAGTGCCATAATTTGCCCGCTCACCTGGGAGACCATTACTCCACACCGTAACGCTTGGAGGAGCACCACACAAGAAGGTGTCAATACTTTTGAATTAGCCCGACTGCATACCGAGGCAGACAAGCGCCAACGTCGGAAAGACGCTACCGCAGCCGTCCCTCCCGCACTAGATGTAGCCCTCCACACGTGCATCATCTGTGGACGACTCTTCCGGTCCCGTATCGGCCTCTCGAGTCACCTCAGAGCTCACTAACAAGGGTGACATCCCTAATAACTTGTATCATTGTCTCGGCTGGATGATCGTTATACTCGATTCTGAGTGACAGCAAAGTAGTAGTAGTCTGCTACATCCGTCCTTTCATTGGCGGGAATCTCCTATGGGGAATATTCTGGTGAGTTTTTCTACGGTTTCATTTTGTCCCAGTTTCCATTATTTTATACATTATCCCTTATATTCGTGGGTCGTCTTCTCCGGGTGGTTCGCGAAGCATGTCTGGTCTAGAATAGTTATAGATACACAATTGCCGACATATCAGGTTTGACTTAACCCCTGAACTGATCATTCAATATGTACAGAAATCCCTTGGGGTGAATGGATCATTTTATAGTTAATATGGAATCTAGTCAGACATAATCATAATGAGCTCGGTTCAACAGTCGTTTTGAAGATTTTCTTTACAATTTTATTTAATTAGTAGTTATCATTCATTAGCACCTTCCTCTATGTAAGTGCAGGAAATACTCTTCCTTGGCGTGACACACCTAGGCGCCCGGCCGGAGCAAGAATGGCTGGGCGCGGCTGTATTCTGCAATCTATTCATCAGATGAGATGTTTGTTGCTGAAAAAAATATATTTGGAAATAGAATTAGTTGGGTTTAGTTAGTTATTTTAGTTTTTTATTAAATCAAATTGTCTTAGAAATGGTAAGCAAGGTACCTATCTGAAAAAAAAAATGGTTTGACTTACAAGTTGGACAAGACCTTCGGACGCGCGCCGTCTCAGCTGATGTTTGTTTGGATGTCTGGGGACGGGACGTGTTGAGCCTGTGGTATATACTGTACCTAGTAGGAATTATCTCAAAATTTGTGGGTATATGTATTGGGATGTATTAAATGCACATTGATTAGGCTATTTCATGAGGGTTGAATACATGTTAAACGTACTTGTAGTTTTAGGAAAATCACAGACCTTTAATATTGTATGGGTAAATCACCGATTATTTTTTTTATGGTTTTTACAGCTGTTGTGCTGTTGACTTTTGCCGGGGTTGGTCTCCCACAGTACAGTATTATGATATGTAATTTATTACAAAATATGGTGGTAAGTCTTAAGAATAATCCACTCCAAAAGAAATGCAGTATATAATTTTGGTCTGAATCAATAATCTGGTCCCTTCAAGATGAATCCAAGAAAAAAAAAGGCACGGAAAAAACCTAACCTAACCTAACCTACATACGTGCAATGCCATCATATATATAATGTGTTGTCAATGTGTACAAGTCATGAGACTTTTGTCCTGTAACTTTATTTCTGTTCACCTATAAGATACAGTATTCGGTAAAGGTGTAGATCTCTCACTTTTGAAAACTCGTCTCTTTTATGATTTTTTCAACCTATAAAGTGGCAAGCTCTCTAGAACATACAGACCACAACTGTTTTAGAAGTAAAAAATAAATATTTACCTTAAGCCTTGATAAAGTACAGTAGTCTATTGATTCTGTAGAAATGTCTCTTTCGTGAGTGAGATACAGTACAGGATTTATCAAATGCAGGAAAATATGCCAGAAAAGAAGACAAGAAAAAATTAAGTGCATTAAGAGAGACAAGTGTTTTGGTTAGGTCTGTGGTTGGGAACATTGAAAACTAACCTAACCTAAACCTTACCTAACCCAACCCAAACTAACATAACCTAACCCCATTTGTTAGTGGTCTTTAAATGAAATTATACTTTTTCTTGTGACTGCTGCCATTCACTGACTCATTATGGACTGTATAATTATAGACATTATGTACTGTATAATTATAGACATTATGTACTGTATAATTATAGAATTCGTTTTAATAGACAGCTCTAAAAACTGATCCTAATATCATATGAAGAAGTGGTTTATACTGTGCTGTTATTAAAGAACTTGTATAAATCTTTGCACAGTTAATATTTTGGCTTTAAGTGCATATACTGTATGTTCAAAACTACTCTACGTCTATACAAGTTTCACATTGTAGAAGAAATTTTGTTTTATGTGTCCAATTCTTTCAGAAAACAGGTTGTTTATTTTTCTAGAAATTTAGATTTATGAAAATTTACAAAATACTGTACTGTACTGAAAGTTGAGGATGTTGACAATACCTGCTGGCCAGATACATAATCATCTTGCAGTTAGTTGGCTGATACCTACAGTATGTGTAGTACACACGCTCTGGTGAATAAAGCTGGATCTCAACAGCAGTGAACTACTGATCTTTCCAAACTTCATGAGTTCCTGCTAAAATCTGACCTAGTTCAATAATGGTTTGTTTTCATTCACCCCATTATAGTCTACTATCATATGTTTTAAGTCATACAGTACTGTAAGCTGTAAGTCATGCACAACAAGGTGTTTTTGTTGCAATTTATTTTATTCTCTTACTAAGGGCAGATATTGTAGTGATTGATTTCTGTCTGCCTGTTTGCAAGTAAAAGTTTGTCCTGCAGTAGTCAATAGATTTTCTAGGAACTTGGTTATAAATGTTCATCCAGCATCTGCCTGTCCTACTTGTATGGATGTCACTGACTTTGATAACAGATCCATTACTGTATGCCCTAAAACACATTATACAGTATCCTGTTTTAACCACATTAAGAATTATTGTTATAAAAAATTATTTACTATATTGTAGTGTTTTTCTTCTTCCAACAGAAGTGCTTGTTCGAAACCGCAGCATGGAAGAAGTTGTACAGAAAATCCATGAAGGTAGTACTCTATGGAAGGTTCGGGGTGTAAACAAATGGTTCCATCGGCATTTTAAAGTTGATATGGACAACATGTGCCTTGTAGGAGAATCTAAGAAATGGTGGTCTCCGGGTGGAGGTGCAGGTATGTTGCTCTTTGCACAATATGACCAGTTCATTTTTTTATGCCAAATTTAACTTAAACCACATAAATTAATTCAGTATTATTGTCCGTGTTTTTTTTATAACTTCTGCATAAATGAGGTGACTCTAGTACAATCAAGAAGTAATTAGATTGATAACTGAAGTGTCCAGAACCCGACAAGAGTAACTGGGACTAAATGCCAGAAATTATTATTGTTATCCAAACACAAATGTAACTCCTTAAGTAAATTGAAATTGTTAGTCAGCAGGCAGGTTGAGAGTTTTTACTGCTGCATTTACTTGCATGTGCATTGCAATCAGGGTTTTGTTGTCAATTAAAAAGAATAAGGTAATGAACCTTATCATTCCCATTGGATCTCCTCCTGACTACTTCTACAGAGCTTGGATGCTTTAAGCAATAAACCCTACTGAGTGGAGGAAGTGTAAGTGCTTCATCAGAAATATGAACTGTGTAGGTATGATCACTAATAACAAAAAACAAGGTGAAGCTTGAGACATTAAGAAGTCAACAGGAAAGTGAGGAGATTCTCAAGAGAAAAACAGGTGATTGGAGAAACCCCATACAGTGGTGAATGTAATTTCAGTTTGACAGGGAACAATCAGCTCCCTGTAATAGTGTTCCTGTGTGTGGTGTGGAACTTACTTGGTATGAATGCTGCCAAGCCCTAAACACAGTAATGCGCTTTTCATGTTTTAAGTTTATTTTCATAATCTTGTACAGTACAGTATATATTTAGATTCTATAGAGAACAGGGTTTTGGTTGGTTACTTGTACATGAGGGATTACTGTAACATATTAGCCTTTCTTTGGTTCTTGGGGAAAAGGAAACCTGTTGTACTGTACACTATTTGTTGTCAGAGTAGTACTGTAATCATTCCCCCAGTTAGTCCAAAATTATAAGGATAACTTACCTTGGAGTCATTCAAAGGATATAATAGTTAACTATGAACTGTTTTGTTCAATAGGTGCAGTGAGGTTATGACCTTCAGTCGAGTTTGGGTTACTCCTCCCCCAGTAGTGTTCACGTTCATTGTGGGATCAGTCCAGGCCCCACTCTCCTGTAACACACCCCAAATTTAACTGTTATGGTGACTAAGAACCCACCCCCCTTCCTCCTCATGGTGAGCAGGAACTGATTGGGTGATTGTGTTTTGGAAGTGATGATCATGTGGAACAGAGCGCATGTTTGTAAGTGTAGCAGTGAAGACCCGGCTTCCAGCCTGACTGACAACCTCTGCCTCCAAGTACTTCTATCTTTAAGGTGCCAAAGTTTTGTTGAGAAAGAGACTTCTTATGAAATTTTAGTTCATTACGCATGTCTGGGGTTGTGGAAACCTCAGTTGTCAAACATAAGACTTGTTACTGTATATGAGTTGTCTGATCCATGCTTGGTTATAAAACAGGATCTCAGTATCAGTCCCTCATACTTCATGCAGTATTGGTCGAGTGGCTTCTCTAATGTTTGTTGTTGTGCTTCTACTGTATGATGACTGGTAAACTAATCATGACATTCATTGAGCTGTGATTAAAAATAAAAATTAAAAATTAAGATTTTAATTTCTTTTTTTTTGGAATTTAAGAAAATTATAGTTGTAGGAGCTTCAGACTGTACTGTACTGTCAGAGAATGTATTAGGTTACCTACTACAGTATACACCAGTACCACTCTGGACATAGGGTTAAATGTTTTACAATGTATCATTATAAAAATGGAACATTAAAGTCTGAAAATTTATATTGTAATTTGATTGAGAAGGAAGCAAATGACTCCTGATTTAGAGAGCTCACTAATCTCTAGACAGAGCTGCCTTGTTAAAACTGTGGAAATAACAGTTGAGTGCTACCCAAGCAGCAGTTTGTCTAACCATACAGTACTTTGATCTCATGAGTAAGAAAGGACTGCTACAGTCCTGTGCTTTGATAAGGATGTTACCAATAAAATCAGAAAAGTCATTGAATTTCTGGTAAATTCCAGGGTACAGTCATCACAATGTAAATATATAGTACAGTTTCCTTAGCCATACAAAAGCAGGATCTCAGGAGAACTTCCCACTTCACATCTTGCCACTTCCATTCCACATGTGGTCAGGAAATAAGTTGTAAGCTCCCTCCTGCTCATGAAATGGTATTTTAGGACCTGATCCCTCATTTAGAATCAGTGGGTTAAACTTGTTACACAGGGACTACTCATAAACTGGGAAGCTAAGTTATTCCTTGATATAATTAATAGGAAGATAAAACTACAAGTACTGTACAGTATTTAACTTTCTTAGCTAAGGTGGTTGTGGTCAAATGAATCAAAATCTATTCCTTATTTTAAACTACAGTTGTTTAAGGAATTTAAGTACAGTAGGGTCGGGATATATCGCGAGATAGGGTCCAACGATGTTCGCTATATACTAAATCGCAATACACTGTATATAATTTCATGTAATCCATGGGGAAAATGGGGTTAGGTTCTGGAACCCCAAAAAAGTGACTAAACTTGACTTAACGAGTTCATTTTCTTACTAAGTAAAGCACCAGTGAACACTAGACTCGGGAACAACAGGATATTTCAATGTCAATATCAGTATCAAGAAACACCAGACTCGGCAGCTGATGCCACACTGCCACCCTCACTTGACAATCCCACACCTACATAAACCAACAAACCAAAAATATTAGTTACAGTTAAATCTTTTCCATTATCTTCACTTCACTTTTCACGTCACTAACAACCCATTTACACTCACCTTAGAGGTCGTAATATGCAGCAGAGTCGGCTGCTTACTCGTCTCTCAGAAAGACTGAGCGGGCGAGTGTGAATGCTTGGGTGAGCAGCCACGGTGGCGCCTCTGGTGAGCAAATAACTCATTTGTTTGCCATGGCGGTACATTTGAAATATTTCCTGCACGATTTCCCTCGTGAAAAAAAAAATTATCTCTCTATATAGGAAAATTTTGGTAGTCGCGATATAAAATTTTTGTTATATAAAGTCGCGATATATCCGAACCCTACTGTACTGTATAGTACAGTATAGTATAGTACAGTACAGTAAACTGTATGTGTAAAGGAACACCCTCTTTTAGAATTAAAGAGATCAAGTTATGGTTGGAAATTTAGTTGACTCGGCAGCACCTCACAGCTATTTGTAAAACAAGATACAGTACAACACTATTCTGTGTAGTGAGTAAGCTCTGATCATGAGCCATATACAGCACTGTACAGTATTCCCATCATTTGAGATGAAGTGAACTCTTAAATTCATCATGAGGCAACATACAGTATTTATATTTAACTATGTAAACAAAACATTAACTGTACTATACTTAATACTGTATTTTTAATTAACTTGTTGAACAAAACCCACTAAATATTATTTTGTATCGTAAGGAGGATATTTATTCCAGCCTATTATACTAATTTTGACAGTTGAGGAGTTATATTTTAGAAAACATTATTCTTAATTTAATTTTCTGTGGAGAAGTATTGGATATATTAATTTATGAAGTGCATGTTAATGGAGCTTCCAACAATTTTGTTATTACAAGGATACATGGTTACAATACACAGCATGGTGACCAGTGAACATAATGAACGATAACCTTCCTTATGCTTCTTATTGAACAACTTATTGCATTCTGTCTCCATTTCAAAATAAAGTAGTCTAGTGAAAAGTTATAATGATAGCTAAATAGATCATACTGTACTAAATATGCATGGAGATCCAGTGAAGGTTTACAAGAGAGGAGACTGTTAAGTTGGTCAACATTACTGTACAGCTGATAAACTTATTACTCAAACAATTCTGCTGCATGTAATTACTGTACTATGTGCCTTACAGTAATTGATCTTCCTGTAAGTTTACTTTTTCTATTGCCAAGAAATGAAACAAATACATCAACACTTGAATACACTAGACTGATAAGATGTACAGTATAGAGACGAATAAATGAATCACAAATTAGAGCTTAAGAAATAACTTTGTTTTAGTCCACTTAGTAACTGGATTCAAACACGCAATCAGATAGTAAACAGTGTGTGTGTGTGTGTGTCATTTAATGCAGGAGACTTATGAGTATTATTTAAAATCTAGAGTAACTTAACAAGGTTTGTGGGAAATAATTTGGGACAAATTTATCCCAGTTTCATTATCATAGAGGCGTGGATTGGTAGAATTTTGTGGCTGGAATAGAGCGATAGAAACAATAATGTTTTGGGGTATAGAATATTGTCACTGGGTAATGGCATGTTGTAGTGATCCATGACAGTGTTACCAACATTACAGAAACATCTCTTCCTTTATCATTTATTCCTTTGATGAGTTACTTCATTGTCACATCCCCCAGAAGTGTGACTAATATTAAATGCCAGACAACACAATGAAATATTTGCCACAATATGTAAGAGTGAAACATCCAGAAGAAAAAAACAAATGTTTGTTATTGGTTTTTATAGTCTTTGAAGCTGGGTACTGAAATTAAGTCCTGTGGGAGATAACCTTAATACTCTACTGTACTGTAGTGCAGGAGGAGAAGAATTAATCATTGTGAAAAAGTTATAAAAGGATCTAAGTTCTTGAATCCTGTATTAATATATTTTTCTCATCATAATACTCTGTTAATATTTTCAGAGGACATTTTTACTCTTTTTGAAGGTGAATATATAGTTATTAATCTAGTTATCTAGCCTCTTATGTAGTTATGTTTACAGCCAGTATTAATTTTATCAAATGCCTTATCTGGGGAAATAAAGAATTTCTCTTGATATAAACTAGTGTGTAACAGTACTTGGACTACTAGTAGGGAGGTAGCAGTACAGTAGTTAGCAGTACAGTATAAGGAATAGTGGCAAGTACTTTAAGAAAGTTTAGACAGTAAGTAGAGAGGAAGATGCAGGTAGGAGTACTGTATGGCTCAGTAAATAATACAAGGTGTAGAAAAATGCATGGAACTTATACTATTTTTTATGATTGACTCAAAGTACTGTTGAGAGTACTGTATCACCAAAGATCAACTTCTTCATTGGTGACCTTTTAATATCTTAAATAAAATTAGGTTTAGAAATAAAGTCGACACATTATAATATCCTTTAAGAAAGTATTTTTATTCCTTTGATAATAATATTGTATAGTGTATAATTTTTGTTCTGTTCAATCCTTTTTTTTTAATTTATTTTCCTTTTGGTCTTTATTTCTATTGACCCTCAGAGGTATTTATTGTACCCATTACTCTCCTTAGTTGTGGATAATTAAGTAAACAGAATGAAAATTTGAAATAATCTTTTTATTACTAAAACTATGATGATATGGCTCCATTAGTAACCATTATCTATTTCTAATAATATTTTTGTCTCTGCTGTGTTGTAGGCAGCGATGGACCAGAGAATGCAGGTAAAGCAATTGTGAATATACACTAATGCTTGGGTAGACAGCTGTACTGTACAATACTAACCTTTAGTGACTGTAGAATAATCTCACATTAGTCTCTTGAGCTTATCAATCTCTCAACCATTTCTTCTAAGGCCTTAGATTTTTCTGGTGATTTCTGAGTTTATGGAATAATGACTTTTGCTGCTGTATATAACGTGCAAGACGTGATGTGTTAAAATATTGTAGTACAGTACTACAAATGGGGCTGTTAAATTATTTGTTTTAGACAACATGAACCAACCAAATGTAACTTAATGGACAGTATTAGGATAGGTTTAGTTTGGTTAGGTTAGGTTTTGTTGGTTGGTGTTGTCTTCCCTAAAAAAAAGATATATATATATACACATACATACAGCTCCTCCCTGACTTACGACGGGGTTAGGAACCGACATCCAGGTCGTAAGTCGAAATGGTCATAAGTCGGAAATGCTTAAATAATACATAGAAAATCTAAAATGGGTGTCTCTTTTTCTTCTCAGCACCACAAAACTCCCACTTTTAAGCTTGCCAGCCATTTTAAAGTGAATTACAGATGAAAATTTTGTCTGTGTATTGACTTTGGGACTCGAAAATACGTAATTTGACCAAATTTTGGTACGACTGAGGCAGGTCGTAAGTGTGGGTGGACATAAGTCAAGTAGGTCATAAGTCGGGGATGAGCTGTATACATATATATTAGCAGTCCTGTTCATAGTGCTCTACTTTTTAACATGGATGATTTTGCTTACTGTACGATACAGTAAGTTCTTGCATGCTTATCTCAATATAATTATTTTGGTTATGGCCAAAAACTGTGTACAGTAATGGTAGTACAGTACTATAGCATATAGGACAGTGCTCTCTGTTGAGGAAGCTGTTGTTTCATGACAGAATGTAGCTTTATGACCTTTGTCAAATTTCTCCTTCAGATGCATGTAAAAACAATGGTATTTCATGTTAAATGATTTTTAGAACAATCAACTTGTGCAATTAAGATTTGCAATTTGGTAACTGAAGACATTTACTATTCATTGATCTTTGCAGAGATTTATTGGATCCTACTTATGATTAGTAACCATTTTAGATTTTGAATAATCCATCGGTTGCTTATTTTAAAAAAATTTTGCAGTATTTAAATTGCAGTAGGTCATGTAGTCTCTCGGTAAATGTGGTTACCAACCACAGTATAATGTTGACACTTGTTTATGTAAAGGTAACAGCTGTGGTTGTTATTGCTGAAATATTCTGCAGATTTGCTTGACTGTTCCATAAATATAGTGGTTCTGTAGTGACAAATATTCATCCATAAAAATTACAAGTATAACATTAATTACGATTCCTAAAGTATGCAAAATTGGGACACAAGGGAGGAACAGGAGTAAAACCGAGACTGATGCAAGTGAGAGGGATAATATGGAAGAGGGATAATATGGAGCTTTTGAAGGAATGTAGAATCTTAAGATGCTGTACAGTATGGTAGAAGATTTTTAAGTTTTTGTAGCCGATGGCCTTGTGTAGCCAGGAAAAGAACCATTACAGTACTGGCATAAGTTCTGTGGTCTTCATTAAGTATTGTTTCTCCCAGCAGCTGATGGAACCAAACTTGCTGTCTTGTTAGAGAATGAATAGTTTTTTAAGACCATTGCAGCTTTATTTCAGGTCCATCACCGATTTTCCGGCACCCTTGGTTCCGAAGCCTTGCCGAATTATCCATTTTGCTGGACCAACTGAGGTCAAGTAATAATAATTCAACAATACAGTACGCCTCTGACCCACTAATTATACACCTCCTGTGTGTCTAAAGCACCATGGACTGCGAGAAATTAAAATTAAAATACCACCACTGACACTTGCACCTTTTTTAGAAGCCATATCTAGGGTTAAATGTAAGCAAACTAAGCTAAAAGTCGCCCAGTAAGCTAGTCTGGTAGTCGTGGGAATTTCAAGTGCCCTCTCGTAATTTTGTCTGAACTAAACGAGGTGCCGGATCATCCGTTCCTGGAAAATTGGTGGTGTACCTGTATGAGCATTGAATCTAAAACATTTTGATGCTAATGGCTTATATATGCAAAAATCCTCTATTTTATAATTTGGGGACTAAATGGTAATAGAGTAGAACTATAGTATCCTTAATAGTTTGTCCATTCTAAATGTGGTGACAACATATTGCATACTTTAAAATTGTATTGGTAGCTGAGAGTATTTGTTGGGGTGTAGATAAAATATTTGCATGTTCTTTATCTTTCTTGAATCTGGTTTTGATGGAGGGGTTTTTCTCTTGTCATAGAGGAGGAATCGTAAGTCTCTAGGGAAGCTTTTCATAATGGTTGCAGGGAAGATTTACTTTACAATTACTTATTTGCGGTCATAAATATTTAATCATTTGTTAAGTCTACAGTACTGTCCTCCTGCAATGAATATTACAAGAGTCTTATAATCTGGATTTGCTTTAGTTCATAAGTTACCAACTGATACAAGTAACTACAGAATTATTCCACTTTGTAAACTGACGACTGTACATACTAAACCAGAATAGATCGGTACAATTGTCTCGTTAATCTTTGGAAATAGTCTAATCAAATTTTTTTAAATAAATTGGTCATTTCATATGTAAGTTTCTGTATATAACACATGTAATTTATTATATTGCATATTTTGTATATATGTACTGCACAGTATATAGATATAGGATATGTGTACAGTACTAGAATATAATACATTTATATATTGAAAACATATCAGTGCCTTGGTAGCACTTTGATAGTTATAGAAAAATTTTAATTTTCAATATACAGTACAGGTATAATTAATTTATCTTAGTAATGGTTTTCATTTATCATTACTCACATTCTAAGAATCGTGATACGGTATTAATATGCGACTTGATAAATTGTGCAGTAGCTACAGTATTTACAAAATTAACTGTCTCACTTATTTTGATCATATAAATTAATATTGGAAGGAAAGATAGGAACTAAAAGGATTAAGAAAGTAAAATATTTTGTTAAATAAGTTTTATGAATTTTATAAGGCCAGTATGATACTTTTCCATTATATTTTTAAATAATTAAGTGAGGTTGAATTCCATTGAAATAATGCTTAGAAAGAAGTCCTATCTAATGATTGTCTGTTGTTACAGTTCCGTTGTTAGAGATTACAGAAGTGCGTGAGGGCTGGAAGACTGATACATTCAACAAAGTCAGTAGTCACACAGAGAAGATGAAAGACAAAACAGCAGGTAAGCCTTTAACAGTTTGTGTGGTCGTCCACTTACCTCAAGTTGAGAGAGTAGGAATGATGGTCTTAAAATGTTCAACTGATGTTGAGAAAAAAGACAAGAAAGAATATACAGTGGAGGTGATCCTAAAGAGGCTTTGTGCTATATTAATTAATAACAATGTAATTTACTCCTTTTACTTTTATGGTTTAGATTAAATCTTCACAAATTATTCTTCTATAGAGGTTCACACTCATGGCACCTCATTAATCAAGACACTCATGGCACCTCATTAATAAATCTTCACATGGCACCTCATTAATCAAGACACTCATGGCACCTCATTAATCAAGACACTCATGGCACCTCATTAATCAAGACACTCATGGCACCTCATTAATCACTCATGGCACCTCATTAATTAAGACACTCATGGCACCTCATTAATCAAGACACTCATGGCACCTCATTAATCAAGACACTCATGGCACCTCATTAATCAAGTCCAAATCTTACTTTTCTTTGTACAGTATTTTTAGTTTTTTTATTACATTTGTCAAGTGAAAAATTACTCTTAATTGTGCTTCCATATTTTTTTCTCTTAGGAGGGGAAGAACCAGTACTGGAAGAAAGCAAATGTTTCTCAGTAATTCATGGACCTGGTGGGAGAGACGTCCTGGACTTGGTTGCAGCGACTGAGGATGAGAGGGACGCCTGGGTGTCTGGTCTGTCTCACCTAGTACAGTCGGTTAAGTCACTGCATGAAGAGAAGCAGTATGATGTGTAAGTAACATGACAGTAAAACGTTCAGATATCTAGTAAGGATTTACCACTTCGGCAAAGTATTGCAGAACGGGTTTAAAACACCGGTAAAACCTCTCTTAAGTTACTGTATACAGTATATAATTTCAGTTAGGTGTCGTCATTTTTGGGGTGTATCCAGGAAAAGGGAATGAGAGAGATGTTGTGGCTACCTAAGGTTACTGTGGGTATTGCTCCTATCTACAGTACAGTGTATTAGTATCTCAGTTGGCTTTGAAGGATTAAGTGCTTTCAGTTCATGTTATAATTGCACCAGAAAATATTTTTTAGGTAAAGCTATTAATGTATTAGGTACATGCTGATGTTATTACACAGCTTCTTACTGTAATTAAACATTAAATAATTGTTAAAGGCTCTTTGTTGGAGCTACTACAGTGACACTGCTGTGATCTCATGACTGTGGTGCCAAACAACAAATATCGTTGTTGATGTTACTGCTGTACTGTACAGTGTTGGGCACATAACCATGTTATTTGTGTACAGTATTTAGTTGTGAATGTCTTTGTGGCATATTGTAATTAAACACTTGTTTTTAACTGTACTGTGCTATGATAGCATGCTGTAGCTACTGTACCATGAATGTTCTGTGACAATGCTCTACAGTACTGTAATAATACTACAGTGCTGTTGTGTGTGTGTGTAATAATAATAATAATAATAAGTAACTATATGTGTGTGATATTAATAATATATATATATATGTGTGTGTGTTGTAACCATAGTGAAACATGATCATAAAAGACCAGAAGTGTAATAAGCTCCTGACACATGAAGAGGCAGCTCTGTGTCCTGCTGTACAGAGTGCTGCCTTGTACACCTACTGTCTGACCACCTCCCGACAGATCTGTATAACTTCTGGTATACATAATTTTTTCACATACTGTTGTGTGTGTCAGCAGAAAAGTTAATCGGGTTTTAAATCCAAGTTTACGGGTCCAGGTCAACACCACCAATAACCTACAATAAATAATACTTATTCTTAGATGTGTGTAAATCAGTGCAGGTATAGACTTTTTTTTTTTTTTTTTAGGATTTTGTGGTCAAGTTAATATTCTTCCTGGGAGTATGTTATAAGTCAGTCAGACACACACATACACACACACACACACACTCACTCACTTGGTTGACCTCAGTATCATACATGGGAATGCATTAACCAACCCACTTTAGAGCTGCCTTACATCCCATGGAAAAAGCTAACAAAGTAGGTGACAGACTTCCTGTGATGAAAGTTGTGTTCAGTACAGTAGTTGAGGAAAGGTTTGCAGACAGGTTACATTTTATTGATGAGTGTTTGTACTTGGCAGAGAATGGAGGAGGAAATTTCTGCTTTGGTTTATAACATTCAAGTTTTATTGTATTTTGAAAATATTTTACACTTAGCCTAAAGTAGAATACATTAAGTGAAATTTACATTTTAGTTTGTGTACATCAATTTTAATGTTGTGAAATTGTGAACTATGTAATATTTGACTATTTTTTGGTTTACGCAGGTGGTTACGGAAGCAGTTTGTGGAAGCTGACAAGGACAACAATGGCTCTCTGAATTTTAATGAGTGTTGCAGTTTACTCAAGCAGTTAAACATCAAAATGGATAAAACACATGCTAAGAAACTGTTTAATGTGAGTCTTAACTACAGTAGGTGATGGTTTAATGTGAGTCTTAACTACAGTAGGTGATGGTTTAATGTGAGTCTTAACTACAGTAGGTGATGGTTTAATGTGAGTCTTAACTACAGTAGGTGATGGTTTAATGTGAGTCTTAACTACAGTAGGTGGTGGTTTAATGTGAGTCTTAACTACAGTAGGTGATGGTTTATGGATAGGTAGACCAGGTTAATAATAATAATTTAAGGATCATGTCACTGTAAAGATGAAGAGTTTCTTATTCTTTTGGGGTAAATAATTTGATGTTGTTTATTTCAGCAAGCTAACACAAGCAAGCAGAAAAGAGACGGTGATCAAGTTCTGGAAGTTGGAGAGTTTGTGTCTTTCTACCATACACTGTTGAAGATGCCAGAAATTGAAAAGTTGTACAAAAAGTAAGGATTGAAATATATTTGTTCATAGTATTGGTGTTTAAATGTTCACACGCATCAAAGAGTACATCACATGGCACTGTATAGTCTCCAGGCCAAGTGTATCTTTTGCATTTAATATATTAGTGACATAGCCTTTGATTTATTTTATTAAGACATACCAGTTTATATATTAACCCTTTAAGCTTATGGTTATTGAACATGGGTTGTGTTGTGCCAAATAACAATGTAGCATCACACATTCTCTGGCCTGTGGGGCTAGTTGCAGAGTGATCTGTCACCTCCAAGACCTTGACTGGTTCAACTGTATTTCTTTTTCTCATGTGTTATTGTGAAGAATTTACTGAAACACCTGAATGTTTATACAGTAGGCTTTTGTTATTGATTTAAAGGGTGTGAAGTGTTCATCAGTGCTCTGGTATGTTTTCCATCTGTACAGTGTTGTGGGATGAAGCATCACAGCTGGGCAGTATTGTCTGGTAGGGAGCATCTTGGATTCATTTCTTTTTACTCTTACTAAAATAAATACAGTACTGTAATTGTTAACGCCTTCTGAGTGTTTAAAGGCTAATCAGACTTTTCACATTAAAGTCCAACATTATAATTGGGTCAAACCTGTTGAATACAATTCCTTTTTGTATTTCAAATAAATCGTACATAGGCAATCATACATAAATGTTTAATCCAATATATATTTACATAACAATTATAGCTATGTAATTAATCTAATCTTAACACTTACAATGATTACTTAATTTGCCATATTTCTATGTTGTCACAATGATAACCGATGCAATGGACACAGTCTACCTGTGTAAACAATAAGTACAAGTTAAACTTACGTGTTGAAAGTTTCGAGAAAAACAGGTTAGGTGTTGACTCTATGATGGGGATAGCTACAGTGGCAGTGCCCTGCCCAGCGTCACATGCTCAGCCCTGGCTGGCCGCCTTTGCTGCGTCAGGCGTCTATACACAGACAAGCTCCCCTTACTACCACCCAACACCCCAACCTCCTCTGGGTCTCTCCATCTCAATACAGGGCTGTACTCTATATACTGTATACTCATTACTGCTTGCGGTAACACTAATTTTACAAGTTACATAAACACTTAACTCAGGTCTTGTACAAGATGTATGTATAAAAAGGTCACAGGTGTGGAAATTTTTACTGTGTATCCCCGTAGACTGAGTGATTTGTAATTGCCTCTGGCAACTTGACACCAAGAGCATTATAGCACTTCTGGACGGTGGGCTTCTGTAATGAGTAATTGTTGAATGTGCTTGTTGTCAGGTTTATGTTATGGGTTTCTCTGTAATTTATATAATCCATGATTCACTTGTATAAGTAATGGTGTTGGATTATTACCATTATTAGTACAGGGGGCCCCCCAAATTCACAGATTTTTATTTCGCGGTCCTCTATTATTCGCGGATGACACCCTGGATGTCTGTGGGTAGTTTTAAAGTTGTTGCTGGTATTTTTGTGGCTGGGACAGGGAGCCATTCGTTCTAGAGACAGTAATTTCCTCTACCTGTATGTATATATATATATATATATATATATATATATATATATATATATATATATATATATATATATATATATATATATATATATATATATATATATATATATATATATATATATATATATATATATATATATATATATATATATATATATATATATATATATATATATATATATATATATATATTGGGAAAATTCTCTCACAAAGAATGGGAAACAAAATTATTAAATATGTGACAGTCTACCCTCAAGTTCGTGGTTTATTAATAAAGTAATAAACCACGAACTTGAGGGTAGACTGTCACATATTTAATAATTTTGTTTCCCATTCTTTGTGAGAGAATTTTCCCAATATTATTTATTTGTATATGTGTGTGTGTGTGTGTGTGTGTGTCTCTACACACACACACACACACATATATATATATACAATACAGGTAAAAGAAATAATTTTCCTAAGGGCAAACACATGAAAGGGAATATACATTTAATTGTACACAAGTAAAAATGTAACCCCCCCCCCACACACACACACACACACACACACACACACACACACACACACACAAATGTTATTCACGGATTTGGTGATTCGCATCCATTTTGAGAACCTAACCCCCGCGAATTTGGGGGCCCCCCCTGTGATTAGTCTGGTGACCGTTGGATGGTTACACTTGGTTGTAGTGATTTAACTATTTCTCATAAATCACTTTAATTCTGGTGAATTGGTTCATATAAGTAAAGATTTTATTACAATTGTATTTTAACCATTAGTTTAATGAAAAAACATTTAATTTTATGAAACAACACGGAATCTGTCAAAGTAAAGTATCAACTTATTAATTTGAGTGACAACGTGTCACATAGTGATGTCATTTTTGGCAGTTTTCTCGGCGGAGAGAGCCGTTGCTCCGGTCGGAAGGTGGAGGCAACACCACGTTGAATGAACTCCAGAGACGACAGCTCAATTTGTTTTTATTACGTTAAACATAAGTTTATATCAATGTAGCTATGACTCGGCACTGGGAGAGTCTCAATAGAACTACACAGAGGATTCATAAACCCTTACTGTGTAGAGAAAGGTTGGTTGAGGGAAGGTAAATCTCCTGTAACAAAATTTAATCTAATTTTGTTATATTAATAGACCAGAAATATTTTAACAGGATCAACGCAAGTTATTAAAAACATTGAGTGAATGGGCTGTCTGGCAACGTAGTTTATAGTAATACAATATTTATTCAGACTCATAATTGATGGTGTTCTGAGTAAGGTATTGAATCCTTCTTTTGATGTGACCAGTACAAGTACTGTACCTGTACCACACCTTGTATAGGAAAAAAATCTCTAAACTGTGTTAAAAATTTTAGAACCAAGTTTTTATAACTTTAATTTATAATTAGACCCTTGCCTTGTGTGAGGGATAGGTTCCATGAATTGGCAAAACCTGTAATAGCTACTTATATAATAACTTAGTGCACTAATATACAGGTATACTGTGTAGGAGAAACTTAGGTCACAATACTGTACAGTACTTACATTATATGTGGAAGTTTAAGTGGTGTACTGTACATAGGGAGACATCTGGTTACTGAAGCATAGGTGGATCACTGGTGGAAGAGGGTGATGGAGTGGTGGTTGGTGGAGAGGCGGGTGGTGGGGTGGCACGTCACTGGTAGGGAAGTAATACCTGGTTGATTCCTTGGACTGTCTTAAGGCTGTGTTCCATGGAAGGGTCGTGGTCAACATTGAATTCATTCGTCATCTTTACCTGACGAAATAGTTCACCAATATTGTCCAAGCTCCAACCTTCTTGTTGTAATTCCATAATGTCTTCCTCTTCATCGGCACTTTTTACCAACTCTTCCAAATCCTCTTCTGTCCGTTCTTCTCCGTGGCCATCAATGGGCTCTTCCACGTCTTCAGCAGCCATGTCCACAAACCCCTCACCACCCAACTGACGTGCAACACTCGCAATGTCATTCACCTCCTTTACTATGGACGGAAATCCCTGAAAATTATTCACACACTCAGGCCATAAGGTTCACCAACAACCATTCACTCTCTCTGGTTTGAGTTCACTGAACACTTCACTGATGTTGGTAATGCAGTCCACAATGCTGTACTCCTTCCAACACTTGCTAACATCAAGGTCAGGGTCTTCATCCATGGCACTACGGATACGACCAAAAGAGCAGCGTGTATAATATGCCTTGAAGGTGTGTATTACACCCTGATCGAGAGGCTGGATAAGAGCAGTGGTGTTAGGGGGTAGGAACACCACCTCTACACCTGGAAGGCTAAACTTTCTGGGTGGCCTGGTGCATTGTTTATCAATAATAACACTTTGAATTCCATCTTCTCGGAAGCAAGGTATTTTTTCACTTCCGGGACGAAGCAGTTATGGAACCGGTCCAGGAATGCTTGGACGGTTACCCAAGCCTTTTTGTTGGACTGCCAAAAGGTTCTTGTTTTTACCCTTGAAAGCCCAAGGGTTTGCTGAGCGGTAAAGCGAGCCAGGCAAGCCACATTGCCACAGAAGATGAACGTCTCTGTCCCTGACTGCCTTGAGGCACGCCTCTCCTGCTTGTTTATGTAAGTTCTACCAGGCATTTTCTTCCTATATAAACTAGATTCATCAGCATTAAGCACTCACTCTGGTCTGTAGCCTTTCTCTCTTATTGTTTTCTTCCACTTGGTGGGAATTACATCTGCGGCTGTGTGGTCAGCTGATGCGGCCTCCCCAGTCTGCTTCACATTATGGAGTGAGAATCTTTTCTTAAAATTCTTGAACCAACCTTTACTGGCACTAAAAGTTGGTTCAGTCATGGCACTAGCCCCTTCACCACCCGTTGACTCGTAAAAATGAGCATAAAGACTTTTAGCCTTTTCACCAATCACGTTGCTGTCGATAGGAACATTTTTGTGGTGCCGGTCCTCAGTCCAAATGTTCAGTGCTTTCTCAGTTTTCACAATGTTCTTGTCACGAACAACCTGCACCACTTTAGCACTTGCAGGAACATTCGCTTGAATAGAATCACAAATTACTTGTTCATTCTTTCTAATGTACCGCACTGTGGGTTCGTTCACACTAAACAACCGACCAACCAGGGCAGCACTCGTCCCCATTTTTAACTTGTCTAATAATTAAATTTTCTTTGCCAGGGTCATCACTGACTTTTACCTTTTATGTTTCACTCCACTAGCACTGACACTAGGCAGTCTTTTCGGGGCCATTTTCACAAAGAAACACAAAGTTTTGAGAGTATGACACAGGATGCTGAGTCAGGGGTACTGGGTAAGGGAGATGCTGCAGGCGTGTGGGGTAACTTGTTGCACTGAAGGACAAGGCTAGCCACCAGCTGCTTACTGCGAATCATCGAAATCACGAATCTTAAACCTGGTAATGGGATTTGTCTATTGTACCTGTTACAGGTAGAGGTTAATAACATATCATAGCTGTTTTTGTTCAGGTAAATACAGTAGAACATCGATTTAAAGCGATTCAATTTAAGATAATTGATTAAAAACGACACCCACAATTAAAGATAATGTTTTAATTTAAAGCGAATCTTTCCTATTTTGTGCGAGTCAACCTGGCGCATCTTATTTTAAAATTCGCGCCTAATGTTTCTCTGGGCACGCTACACTGTCCTAAGGACAAAGCTGTACTGTACTAAATGATGACTAAAATTTTTGTCAAGTGCAAACTATCGCATGATTATATTCAAATTAATCACTACCTTATAAGAATTCCAGCAATGTAAATTATATTCTCCCCGGTCACTTCTGTAACATTTTATAAAAAAAAACCTAAAACTCAATCTAAAGGACATAAATAAACAAATAAATACTTCACTAGACCCTCGACGCTAACTGTCAAACATGTCACTGTCACATACCCGCCTCCCCTTCCTCCCAGCAAGGGTTTGGTGGTTATACAGTAGGCTTACAGTTTTTATCTTATATAATATCATCGACTAATGTTAAGAGAATATAATTTGCAGTGCTAGTATCCTTGCAAGACAGCGAATAATTTGAATATAAACGTCATATATTTTGCACAAGAAATAAAATTTTTAGCCCTTCGTAATAAAATTAATTAGAACATGTCAGCTCAGTGACGTTTTATAAGAGAAAACTTAAAGTGGCTCTTAAGGACAGATAAATAAATAAATAAGGACTAGACCTTGGCATCAACTGTCAAACATATCACCTCCACCCCCATCTTCCCATCAGCTGATCGCTAGTAAACAGTCCATTTCACGTCTCATAATTTTAGCTGTGTTGATTTATGAAGGTTTGTTTTAACATAATACTACAAAAAACAATGTTTTGTTTATTCTAGGAGATGGGCTGAGGTGCATCTGGGTAGACTCAGTCTTTTTAGTATTTTGTGTTTCTCTCAAGTACCAAACTAAATTATTCCATTGAAACAACACTTGGATTTAGTGTGAATTCGGTTTAAAGCGACCTCTCTTGGAACGTATCTCGTGTTATATCGACGATCTACTGTAGTTAAGCTCTTGTACAAGATATTTGAACACTATCTTGTAGTACAGCCATCTCCAGATTTACACGATACTGTAGTTACGTTCTTGAGAATGGCCGTGTAATTCAAAAACATATAAGTCAAACTTAATTATCCCATAAGAAATAAAGGAAATGGCAGAGGTTAAGGGAAATGCTCCCTAAACACTGTAATTTGTATCTATTTCCTTCAAGGTTTTATTTACAATAATATGATACAGTCGACCCTCGGTAATTCGGACCAATGGGGGGGAGGGTGTCCGTTTTAGCCGATAGTCCGAATTAACCGATTTAGGGGTTAATATCGCATTATATTTCAAAGTCATTGTTTTCGTCACGATTTTATCCCACTTTCCACTGTAATACGCAAGTAATTTCAGCAAAAATATTACATTTCCGTGAATGTATTATATCGAGCACAGTATGAATAGAATATCATTGTAATATAACAGTATTTTAACCGAAAACCAGTAAAAAAACGAATAACATCTCATGAACATCGAAAGCTTAGGTAAAGTCTTTTGTTTTCGTCATGTATTTTATCCTATTTTACATTGAAATACATCACGTTTCAGCAGAACTACTATTTATTTCCGAGAATATATTCATTCAGGCGCAGTTTAGGTAAAATATACGTGTGATGTAACAGTTTTATAACTGAAAACGATTCGAAAAATACGTGTAGCATCTAGCTGATTGATACTCAACAGCTGGTGGTGCGTCATGCGTCGTTGTAAACAATAGGAGGTTGAAGTGGATTACCGGGTATTATATTACGTGTGAAATATCAAAAAGGTTTTTATTAACGGTATTTTTTGTAGATCAACGAGTACTGTGATACCGTATATGATATGATAAGTTAGCCTATGCTAAGAACTTCAACATAGACTACTGAAAACACGTTGTAAGGTAATTTAGCCTATTGTAAGTTGGTGAGCTTCATTTGCTGAAGGAACGGCACAACTTTTCATTACTAATTGGTACATATTTTACGTTTCCATTGTTTACTGGCAGTAAATAGTAAATATTTTTCATGTCTGAAGCTAAAAGTTCGTTCAGATTTTGTCCGAATTATCCGAAATCCGGATTAAAGGGGTCCGAATTAACGAGGGTCGACTGTAACTACAATAATAATATAATGATACCAATAACAATATAATAATAATAATAAAATAATAGAAGCAAACCTAATAATACAGTAGCAAGAAAATAGATTTTAAATGAAACTTAGTGCTAACATTTATGTTGAGTGATGGCTGGCTGGTGAGAGAACTAGTGGTGGTGTTACTTGGGGAGGGAGTCAGATGACAGCAGGTGACGGGGGAGGAGTAGTAGGAGCTTGTGAGATGGCAGGTGTGATGGTTCAGGTGATGTTACTTTTCCTTTTTCGTAAAATAGGAGAGCAATGTGGTACTGAACTAAGCTGCCTGGCACAATGGCGCTCTTTTCAGAACCATTATATTGAAAAAAAAACTTCTTGTTATTTTAAAAATGGGTATTAATATAATACTAGTGTTTATTTAAAAACGTGTAAATTACACTCGTGCAAATCAAGAGGTGACTGTAATGTATTTGGAAAATGCTGAAGGATCAACACAACTGAGTTATTCCTAAATATTTGTAGCTGGGTGGACTGTGTGAGGCAAGGAGGGCTGGCAACTGTCTGGCTCAGTCACAACCTGGACTAGTGAATGGGTTAATATTAGATAGCCCTTGGGTGTGTTATTGATGAGTAGCATTGATGTACAGTACGTTGTTATTGACGGAGAGCATGTGCTGTTGACAGATATGTACAGTATGTTGTTATTGACGGAGAGCATGTGTTGTTGACAGATATGTACAGTATGTTGTTATTGACGGAGAGCATGTGTTGTTGACAGATATGTACAGTATGTTGTTATTGACGGAGAGCATGTGCTGTTGACAGATATGTACAGTATGTTGTTATTGACGGAGAGCATGTGTTGTTGACAGATATGTACAGTATGTTGTTATTGACGGAGAGCATGTGCTGTTGACAGATATGTGCAGTATGTTGTTATTGTGGAGAGCATGTGTTGTTGACAGATATGTACAGTATGTTGTTATTGACGTAGAGCATGTGTTGTTGACATATGTACAGTATGTTGTCATTGACGGAGAGCATGTGCTGTTGACAGATATGTACAGTATGTTGTTATTGACGGAGAGCATGTGCTGTTGACAGATATGTACAGTATGTTGTTATTGACGGAGAGCATGTGTTGTTGACAGATATGTACAGTATGTTGTTATTGACGGAGAGCATGTGTTGTTGACAGATATGTACAGTACGTTGTTATTGACGGAGAGCATGTGCTGTTGACAGATATGTACAGTATGTTGTTATTGACGGAGAGCATGTGTTGTTGACAGATATGCAAGTGAGAAATCTCAGCTGATGAGTGCGGACCAACTGTGTGCCTTCCTGCAAAAAGAACAAGGCCTTCCCAACTATGATGCTAACCAAGCCACCACACTCATCAATGAATTTGAAATCAGTGATCTCAAAGACCAAGGATATATGACCCAAGATGGTGAGTTGTGGTTATTGGATATTTATATGGGTGTAATGTCAGGGCTTACTCACCATCACCTTGCTAGTTTATTAACCAAATATGAATCTTTCTTTTGCAGCTTTCATTTTTATTGGACAGTAATTTTCACTTACTATTTTGTAAAATTGCCAAATATAAAATTAAACTGTAGTGTGCTCTCAATTGTTACTTGCATAATACTCAGCCTTCACTTATGTCAACTTTTATAATCGGCATCACTGCATGTGTGATGCTCCTCAAACCTTGGCTACACTACACAGACAAAGCAATGTTGTGTCAACTCAACTTTATGATGGTAAAGTATTATCACAAACATGACATCTCTGAGATGGTTTTGGGACACAGTCCAGGGGCCTGGAGTGGCATTATAAAATGTCTGTCTGTCAAACTTGAAGAAAGTGACCTACTTGTGTAGCTGCAGCAGCCGTGCCTGGACATACCATATTGTACGTGGTATTTGTCGACCATTTGGTGTGTGGCCTTATTGAAGTCCAAGAGAATGGTTTCTTGCCTGATTTTAACACAAACCTGTAATAGACATTCAATACTAACATATCAGTCATAGATTTGAATAACTTTATGTACCAACAAACACTTTCATACACATTCAATTCAACAGATTTATCAACGATTTGCAATTTCTTGATATACCTGTATTCAAGAGCACTTACTGGCTGTCTTATTGTTACAGCAACACCCTGTCTTGCCAGTGTGAATCATGATCCCTTCAGGCAAGGTACTAAGCATATGAATCTCTCTTATCTTTCCATTTGAAACCCAATAATGTATTCTTTTGGCACAGCAAGACACTATTTCACTCCCTTTTTCTTCACAACTGTTAATGGTGTGTGTTTTCTGTTCCTCTTTCCATTCCACAACCACTTGTATTCTCACTAGTTAGTAACCAAGCAACTTTGAACTGGCATACCAGTTATCAACAAATAACACACGGCATTTTCCAAGATATGGTGACAGTGGTATGCTATATTATGCAATGTATCCTTGGCACACAAAATTACTGAACACCACAGTTCCTACTGTACTGTACTGTACTGTACTGTACTATATACTACTGTACTATATACTACTGTCCTGTACTATATACTACTGTCCTGTACTATACTGTACTGTACAATACTGTACTGTACTGGTACTTGTACTGTACTGTTCTGGTACTTGTACTGTACTGTACTATATACTACTGTGCTGTTACTTGTACTGTACAATACTGTACTGTTCTGGTACTTGTACTGTACTGTACTATATACCACTGTACTGTACTATATACTACTGTCCTGTACTGTACTGTACTTGTACTGTACTGGTACTTGTACTGTACTGGTACTTGTACTGTACAATACTGTACTGTACTGGTACTCGTACTCATACTCTACTGTCCTGTCCTGGTACTGTACTGTACTGTACTGTACTGTACTGTACTGTACTGTACTGTACTATACTATACTGTACTGGTCTGGTACTGTACTGTACTGTTCTGGTACTTGTACTGTACTGTACTGTACTGTACTGTACTGTACTGTACTGTACTGTTCTGGTACTTGTACTGTCCTTGTACTGTACTGTTCTGGTACTTGTACTGTACAGTATTGTAATGTCCTGGTACTGTACTGTACTCAGAAACTAATAACTTTATAAACTTTGGTCCCCCTTAAACACAGTCCATTGGAGTCCACAGTCTGAATATAATTTATGCTTATGGGCTCATTTTTCCTTCCGTATGTATATAGAGAGGTGTGAAAAGTGCTGGATTTTGTTACTTAAGTAAAAGTATTATTACATTGGCAAAGTATTCCTCAAGTAGAAGTATCCAAAGTTCAGTGTACTCGAGTAGAAGTAAAAAAGTATCTCGTTCATAAAGTACAGTACGCAAGTACTAAAAGTAAAAAGTAACAACAAAAGTAATGTTTATATCAAATAGCATTACACTTGTTTATTTGCAAATCTTTCTCTTGAGATTAATCAATAACTGATTCTAAAAATTATGGCTGTCCAATCAAGATCTTTTATGCCTAAATATAAGCCCAACGTGAGCTACTGAAAGAGAATACGTCCAACCGCTCTTCCCCCTACAGTCCATTGCAGGGATAGTGAATGGGCTGAAAATATATCCATCCAACACTTTGATAACTTTCTTTCTTATCTGCACAAGTATCGTTGACGTGGACTTACGGTCCGCAGACATAATATTATCTCTGCTGGCATTAGGTTAGGATACAGACCTATCTGGCATGTACCCGAGGTGTGGGATGACCTGCACTTCTCTTCCTGTAAACTCTGTAACTGTCCCAATGCTAAAATCCTTCAACATTATTGCCTTGACTGTCCCTCTGTCAGGGACCTCCTTCCACAGAGAGAGTCACTAACCACTGTGTCACCTCCTACTTATTCATAATAATTTAGATTTAATTCTTGTATGCTACCCACACTTTGGTGGGTGCTAACTCCCATTGGCCTTAAATCATACCAATATTGTCACCATATCACAAGTCATAGCGTGTACTGTGAGACACGAGTACCAATGTACTGTATTAGCATCTGACCGCATGGTCTTGTGACTAGGATTGTCGCTCCCTAGGGTGCAAAAAAATTAATTAAATTATAAATAATAAGCTCAGCATGACTAAACAGACTCTCACAAGCAGCAGGTGCAGGTAGTGGGGTGTTAAGCTTGAGAGATAAGTCACATAATGTTGGGAAAGACCTCGGTAGCTCCATTCCATCCCCTGGGCATGCCAAGTAGCTTTCAGGCTCCTTCAGTTGAGGAGTTTGAGGACGACAGTTACCTCCATAGTGACTGAGTCTGACTAAGACTCGCCATGAACTGGCCCTCTAATTGGGGTGTGGCTGTGTCATTTTTTTATTCTAATTGATGAGTGGCTGAATTTTTCACACCACGTAGCATGTGGTGGGTGCTGGGTGAGGGAGGCAGTCGTACTTAATTATTTAAGAGTTTAAATACTCGGTCTGGCATATACGTATAGATACAGTGCAGGCTTTATATCCAAAACAAAATTATGTAACGCATTTAAGAATAACAGCCTCTTTAAAATTAATTTTGGTTACAGGTATAGTATACAAAGAGCAACTGACATTTAATGGGAAGACCAAACCCCTGAAGGAAAGATGGGGGAGAAGAGAGGGGAGGGTAGTCAAGGTGCTAATGGACACAAGAAGATCAAAGGGAAGTCCGCTGTCATGGCCACTGCCACCTGACCTAACCTTTTATATATATATATATATATATATATATATATATATATATATATATATATATATATATATATATATATATATATATATATATATATATATATATATATATATATATATATATATATATATATATATATATATATATATATATATATATATATATATATATATATATATATATACACACAGTATTACCCCGCTTAACGCGCTTTCACTTAACGCGTTTTCGCATATACGCGGTGCCTTGCCAAAGCTGAACTTTCACTTAACGTGGCATTTTTCATCATATACGCGGTGAGTGTCCGGCTCGAGAGCTATTTTTAGATTCACACCACCCGCCACCCTGCCTGACTGCCTGTTTTAGCTCATAAAATTCATACAAATTACCCAGCCAGAATATAATTTACATTGCTGGAATTCTTATAATTTGGTGATCATTTTGAATATAAACAACATATATTTTGCATTAAACATACAATTTTTAGATAAAAATTGTTCTCTAGGTAATTATGTTATCTTTTGTCCAAAATATATGACATTTATATTCAAAATATTCCTGGTCTTACAAGGAATCCAGCAATGTCAATTATATTATCCTAACTTTAGTTTGAGGTATTATTTATTAAAATTTAGTGGTTATCCCACACATCTCCTTGGGACGGTTGGTGGGGGGTGGGGGGGAGGGAGGGACCGACCGACCATCTGTTACCCCGTGAAGAATTATTATTTTTTTTATTAACTGAAGATATTTGTTTTAGCTCATAAAATTCATACAAATTACCCGGTCAGAATATAATTTACATTGCTGGAATTCTTATAATTTGGTGATCATTTTGAATATAAACAACATATATTTTGCATTAAACATACAATTTTTAGATAAAAATTGTTCTCTAGGTAATTATGTTATCTTTTGTCCAAAATATATGACATTTATATTCAAAATATTCCTGGTCTTACAAGGAATCCAGCAATGTCAATTATATTATCCTAACTTTAATCTGAGGTATTATTTAATACTAAATGTTAAAAACTCTTGAATGGAGGATTGGTGGGGGGTGGGGGGAGGGTTGGGACTGACCACGCGGTTGGAAGAGGGGGGAAGGCAAGGTGGGGTACTTTGATTGACAGATAGTGTCGAAGAATATTTTTTTTTTTATATTAACTGAAGATATTTGTTTTAGCTCATAAAATTCATACAAATTATCCGGCCAGAATATAATTTACATTGCTGGAATTCTTACAATTTGCTGATCATTTTGAATATAAACATCATAGATTTTGCATTAGACATACAAATTTTAGATGTAAAGTTTATTCTGAGTAAATATGTTATCTTTTGTGAAAAATATATGACATTTATATTCAAAATATTCCTGGTCTTACAAGGAATCCAGCAATGTCAATTATATTATCCTAACTTTAGTTTGAGGAATTATTTATTACTATACCTGGTTTTCCCCCCAAAAATTTCTCAGAGGGAAGAGCCAGTGAGTGTAGTGTGAGAAGAGGGGGAGGGAGTTGAGTCCATTATTTGAATGGACATTAACTTGGCGACTGTATTTCTCTATTTCTCTTAAGTATTAATTGTGTGCATGTACCATCATAAAATTAAGATGTTATTTTTACTACAACATAGTTATTTGTCGTCAAAAAGTGGAGTTTGGGGGTCGGGCTGGGTTCTATTGGAATTAATCCCATATGTTCTGTTATTCACTTAACGCGGACCCTCTGGGTTCAATTGACCGCGTTAAGTGGGGTACAACTGTATATAAAACTTGAATGTAAACGCCTTATGTTTTGCTCAGGAGATAAAAAATTTTTGCTCTTTGTAATAAAATCCTTAAATTAGAACTAAAATTTATATGTCTGATGTGAGCTATAGCATGTTTATATTAAAATTAATCACCATCTTATAAGAATTCCAGCAATGTTAATTATATTCTCCCATGTCAGTTCAGTGACATTTAATAAGAGAAAAATTTAGTCACTCTTAAGGACAGATAATTAAATAAGCACTAGACCTTGACATCAACTGTCAAACATATCACCCCCCCCCCATCAGCTGATCGCTAGTAAACAGACCATTTCACGTCTCATAATTTTAGCTGTATTGATCTATGAGTGTTTGTTTTAACATAATACAGTTGTACCCCACTTAACGCGGTCAATTGAACCCAGAGGGTCCCACGTTAAGTGAAAACCGCGTTAAGTGAATAACAGAACATATGGGATTAATTCCAATAGAACCCAGCCCGACCCCCAAACTCCACTTTTTGACGACAAATAACTATGTTGTAGTAAAAATTCTATCTTAACTTTATGGTGGCATGAAAAACAAGTAATATAGAAGAGGTTAGGTTAGGAAAGATAAAGGTTAACATAGGAAAAATAAAGAATAGGTTAAAAAACGAAAATTTTTGAGGAACACTCACGGTAGTAGAAGAGATGGGTCGGCATACGGGGATGGAGGCTGGTTCCGAGGCAGAGGGCAGATTACTGCCCCTCAGGTGAATCACCATTACTAGGTGAATCACCATTACTAGGTGAATCAATATCACTGTCACTTACAGTTGTTATGGCTTCCCTGACAAATCCCTCAAAATCAACTTCACTATCACTGGCTTGGGCTGGCTGCATCCTTCTTTATTGTACGAATCGTAGATTCGTTGACGCCATGCTGGCGCGCGAGATCAACTTGGCGTCTTCCTTTCTCCAAATCTTGAACAATTTGGTACTTCAGCTCGTAGCTTAATGAACGTCGTGTCTTCTTTGGTTTAGTGCCGCTGGGTCCAGGTAAGGAAAGGTTTCTCTCTGGGGGTGGTGGTCCGGCGGAAGCCATTTTACGGAACAATGGATGCGCGTTAACCCGGCGTGGCCTTGAGGGATGAAACTGCCGCGGCTAGGTCAAGCGTCGTCTCTCCTCCCTCCCTCCCTCCCCGGGGTAGTCACGTCATAATACTTTAAGCCAATTACAGCTAGCAGCAGAGGGGGGTAGGGCTGCATGGCCAATCACAGTCCGAGACGTCATATGACGTCAGTGATAACGCAACAAAGACACACACTGCGCAACCTTACCGCGCCGCTTACCCAAGCGGAGGGAGGAGGAGGGAGAGGCAGGCAGGCAGGCGGGCGGGTGGGTGGCGCGTGGTCAAAATCTAAAAATAGCATCCGAGCCGGACACTCACCGCGTAGCTGTGGAAAAACCCGCGTTAAGTGAAAGTTCAGCTTTGGCAAGGCACCGCGTATATGCGAAAACGCGTTAAGTGAAAGCGCGTTAAGCGGGGTAAACTGTACTACAAAAAACAATGTTTTGTTTATTCTAGGAGATGGGCTGAGGTGCATCTGGGTAGACTCTCACGCCCGTACTATTAAACAACCTCTTCCCTTGAATAGGGTCGTCGTGTTTCAACCTGACTCATTTAGTTTAAGACCCAGGTTGAAACACGACCCTATTCAAGGGAAGAGCTTATTTAATAATATGGGGGTTAGTCTTTTTAGCATTTTGTGTTTCTCTCAAGTACCAAACTAAATTATTCCATTTAAAGAACACTTCGATTTAATGCAAATTCATTTTAAAGCGACCTCTCTTGGAATGTATCTCGTGTTATTTTGACGTTCTACTGTATCGTATTTCTTGGTCCAGTGTGTCATGATGTATAACCCCGTAAAGGTGCACGATAATCTTTCAGTGAGTGGACACAATAAAAGATGGATATTGGACTGGTTGAATTGACAATGAATCAAAACAGTACCTGTATGATCCTGTGAGTGGAGGCTACAAACAGGACATGGGGCAGACTGCTTCAGGGTCAGGGTTTGGGTCTTCACATTACAGTGTTGGAATAAGTTAACGGGAATAAACTTTGAGGAAACAATATCAGTGCAAGGGCAGATCCAGGGGGGGTTCTTGGGGTCTGGACCCCCCCACCCCCTCTTTTTTCACCCAAAAATTCCAATACTTTTTCTTTAATGCAGTATTGTACTCAGGCATTTTTGTATAGTAAAAGTATTTACTATTGACTTCAGAATATCTCCTAATATCAAGTGTGCATGGCTTCAAAATGCCCTTGATATTGGTCAGATTTCAAAAAATCTTCCGAGAGCTTACAGCACCCCCCCCCCTCCCCCCTCCCCAGCTGGGTAGGCTTGCTGCGCTCGCCATGTTCCCCCACCCACAACTTCTTGGGACCCCCCTCTTGATATTCCTGGATCTGCCCCTGTAGTATGTCACTTCAATTGGTAAGTGATCAACTTAAGATAAAATTAACTATGATTTACAGTATTGTTTAAGTAACCCAACGCTGTGCTACATCACAACACTAATCCTTATCCTATAGACACAAATATAACATATAATGATTGTACCTAACATAATATAACATACATCACCCATATAATGATTGTACCTAACATAATATAACATACATCACCCATATAATGATTGTACCTAACATAATATAACATACATCACCCATATAATGATTGTACCTAACATAATATAACATACATCACCCATATAATGATTGTACCTAACATAATATAACATACATCACCCATATAATGATTGTACCTAACATAATATCTAGAGCAGCACAATAATATATTTAAACCAAAACATGAATACTGTAAATGTTCCCCCACACATGATGTTTCTGCCTCCCGGCTGTATCTGCCTCACCCCACGCCTTCAACTATATACAATAGCATGGAACTTAATAAGGCATTTCCATAATATTAGTCTTTACCAGTTTTTAATCACCTTTGATGATCTTGCATTACATAAATATATCAACATAAGAACCATTAATATTATAAATCAACACATCAGAAATGTTAACATTAAACCCAACCACTAAATTGTGCACACATACCAATACACGTTAAAGTAGCCACACAATTACATGTAAGAACAGTAATGTTTTCATGACTGAGCCTGACATCTCTAGTTCATCGTCACGTACACTCGCCCACAAAAGTCCTGTCGTCTCTCCTGCTGTTCCACGAACCCTGGGATTCAAACTCGTGAACCCAAATCGGGAAACGCCGATGCAATATTCTGTCCATAAAATGATTTGGATTTGCATGTCCGAATCTCAAGGTTATTGGTTCAGGAGGAGAGGCAACACAACTCTTGTGGATGACTGTACATTCTCCGTTTCATTACCAGTACAGTGTATTGTGTTCTATGAAATCCATAATGTAGCCAAATTTTACATGCGGCAAAAATAATTTCACACCATACCAATGCCTCTTACTGGGTGTACAGTATATTATCTAAATTGGTTAAAGTATTTTCCTTTGTTAATTTTATTTTTTTTGGATCATTTAATTGTCAGTGGCAGACAGGAATAAGGGTATATTGTTCCCTCAGTATTAGTTGTAAACTAAATAGATATTGTATTACATTAAATGGTAACCTTGAGGTCATGAAAATATTGCAAATTTAAATATATTAGGTGTGGTGTTTATAAAAGGCATGTTCCTCGTACTTTAATGGCTCCCAGAATTCAGTGTTTTATCTGCTGTACTGGACTGGACTGTATTTTCATGTTGGTCCACAAAACAATTAGCATTTGTTAATGCAGAAAATATATGGTAATAATTTAGAATAATTTTCACTTCTAGGATTCTACCACATGCTGCTGTCTGATATGTTTGATATTTTCAACCATGAGCATCAGAGTCATGTGCACATGGACATGACTCAACCACTGTCACATTACTACATCTCCTCCTCCCATAACACGTAAGTACTGTAACGGGATGAGTTTCGTCAACAAGAGTTTGTTTCCTTTCTGGGGTGAGACATGGTCAAAATATGTTGACTGTCGTATACTGTACAGTACTTTATTTTTTAAATGTTATTTAACATAAGTTATCAAATGTGCTTAGTAATAAATTACAATTAAGTCTTCAGGTTAAGTTGATAATTTCATTATTTTCTCATGTATTTTGGAGTCCCAGTATTTGCTTACTCTGGTGATTAAATGTGACAATTTCATTGTATTTTAGCACAAGAGAACATAATATTGTTTGGCTTCAAGGTTGAACTCCATCCTTGGTTTTGAAAATGTTTACCTTATAATTCACTCATTGCTGCATTGTTTGACTTTTGTACAAATTTATTGTTGTCTTCTGTAAAATGTGTTTGCACTTAGATTGTTTATTATTGGTCAATTGATGCAAAAAGCTTTTTGTTCTAAAACCTTTGATTTATATGTCAGGTACTTGACTGGACACCAACTGGCTGGAGAAAGTAGTGTTGAAGGCTACATAAGTGCACTTAAACGAGGCTGTCGGCTCCTGGAGTGTGAGTATAGTACAGTACCAGTTATTATCTTGTACGGTACACCATGACGCACCGCAATAACTTGTGTAAAATATTCTTGGAACATTATGATGGAACAACTTGTGTTGCTACAATCACTCTAAATCTGCATCCACCTTCCTTTATTTGTATTGTAATCTCCCACCAATATTCACCTGGCATTATTTTGTGTTCAGGTGTTGCATCTTGTACTCAACTGGTAGCCTTCTGTTTCAGGTGAATTAATTGATACAGTATTTGTTTCAACGTATCATTTACCAATTATGTTCTGCACATTTACCGGTACAGTAGTTAATAATAATTTTTTCTGATAGACCGGTTATAATATTTCCATTTCATAAATGATTTAGCATCTAGTGACTTTTGTGAACTTTGGTTTAGAGTTTTGATATTTTCAGAATTAAGATCTTTATAAACAGTTAATGTTCAAAATTTATGAATTTACTGAAAAAGTTTCTTTTCTACAGTGGATGTATGGGATGGTGACGATGGAGAACCGATTATATACCACGGCCACACGTTAACCTCTAAAATCACTCTTGCTGATGTGCTACGGGATGGTATCAAGGCTTATGCTTTTGAGGTCTCGCCATACCCAGTCATCCTCTCTATTGAGAACCATCTTGGTGTAGAACAGCAGAAGGTCATGGTGAACCTCATGAAGGATATCCTTGGAGGTAGGTTTGTAATTTACTTTGATTTTATAAGCATTGTACAGTACTTCCCAGATAAAGTACACTCCTTGTTGATTATAATGCAAGCAAATAAAGTTGTTGCTCTCCATATCTCCTCTCATAAAGTACATGAGAATATTTCTCTTAATCTTAAAGGAAATTTTGTTTTTAGCTGCTTCTGTCAGTTTTTTTAATACCAGTCGTTGGAGACTGTCTCACTTGTTCAAACAACTTTTTGACAAGCCTTCAGTGATGCAGCTTAAGACCAATTGTTGGTCAACTGTGTTATCATTAGGCGTGGTTTACCAATATAAATTCTTCTCCTTTGCCAGACATGCTTGCAACAGACCAAGCACCAGCAGACATAACAAGTGTACCATCTCCAGAGGAACTTAAAAATAAAATCATCATTAGAGGGAAAAAACCTCAAGGTAAGATATTCATTTTTTGCTGCTTAACTGAACCTAACCTAACCTGAATACACATTTCCATGTTCATATCTTTGGAAAACTTTTTGCTCAGTCCTTTACCAGATGACAACTTATACAGCTCGGGAGAAGTTTTGTTCTTTATTCCTTTCCTCGGTACAGTATGATCGTCGTTGAAGATTTATGTGATGGAATTCTAAATGAAACTTACTGACTTAATGCTGTTAGCTTTAGTGCATTGTAATTAGTTCCCTTCAACTGAATTAGTCTTTGCTCCCTTGTCAAAAATCTTTAGCTGTTTAATGCGACAAACATTGATACAGGTTCACAATCCCTTATCCGAAACCCTTGGGACCAGATGTGTTTCGGAATTCGGAATTTTTCGGATTTCAGAACGGTAGTACGGCACATATACCTTGTATAGTATTATGGTAACACCCTAGTGGGGTCTGTGGCAACACTCCTTCAGCAAACACATTAATGTTTCTGCAGCCAACCTTCTGAATATTCACACTCCTCTTCAATGTTCAGTTCCTCATGGTATATTTTAGCTTGTTTCATGACCATCAAACCAGTCAGTGGCATACATTCACTTTTTCGTTGTCGAATCCACTCAATCATCACACGGTCAAGATCTTCATTTTTTGCCCTAAGTAATGTTTTCCTACTTTTCATTAGTTTATGGTCATCACTGTCAGTGTAAAACTTCAACAACTTGTCTTTCTGTTTCTTTAAGTGATATACGTTGGTAGTTCCCACACCATATTCTTCAGTAAGACGCCACACCACGGTCAACCTTCTGTAATAACTCCACTTTCTGTGCTATTGATAATAAGAGATGCTTCCTTCTCTTCTCAAAGTTACCCATAGGGTTATCTGAAGCTCTTTCACATTTTCACAGTGAAATTAAACTTAAAATCACAAAATCACAAAAAATATCTGAGCAGCAGCAGCAGACGGAATTGCGGATGAGGGATTGTGGACCTGTATCAAGGTAGAGTAGAAGAATAGTTAGTCTCATATTGGGTTGTGAAAATCCTAGTTGGCAACTTTTTTGCTTAGCCACACCCCTTTGTTCCTCTAACTTGTACTACATGTGTGCCAGTAAGCATTATTGAGATCATTTTTCAGATTCCAAATTTACGGGTAGAAATGTAATAATTCTGTAATTTGGACTTTTTATTTCATAAATATAGAAGATATAATATGTGTTGTCAAATGTACATTATACTTTGATATTTTTACAACTTTGGTGGCTGTGTTAATGTAAGCTGTGCCTGTCTCAATTAAACTCAAAAATCAATTTGTGGTGTGGAGTAAATCACAGACTTTTAACTGCCACCTCAATGTAGAGTTGTCATGTCTCCTCCCACCCCTATCCTCCCATGTTCCTTCCTCCTTCCCTGCCAAATTCTTTTCATCCACAATGTTACATACAATAAGCCAAACACTGATAAGCTGATAGTCGCAAAGTGAAAATTAGAAATGAAAAACTAGGAGTGTTGGTGGTGCAGTACAGTACAGCGGTAACACTTGTATCTCGCACCTTTGAGTCCTGGGTTCAAGTCTTTGATAGAGATGGGAAGGGTGTTATAGAGTGTGACCTTGACAAACATCGCAGGGTTCCTCCGGATGCTCCAGTTAACTTCTGTACGGACACCGAACAATAACGAAGTAGCAAAACAAACCAGTTGCCCGAAAGGCTATTAACTGATAATTTGTGAAATGGTACAATAAAAGTTAAGACATTTCAAATGGCTTTGTTATAATTCCTATGTTATTTGCCAGGTAGTGAAGTGGAGTCAGATGATGATGATGATGATGATCAAGATACCATTGATTATATTGACAGTGATGATGGTGCTGCACAAACCAAAAAGGTAAGATTTGGATAATTATTGTACTGTACTGTACTGTTCTGTACTGTAATTTTTTTGCCATTTGTTCATATGACAGATGGCAATATTGTAGAATTATTTGTATTAAGTATTGTATAATTCCTCTTAAGTCTTGCTTGACTGGAACATTTCCAATTAATCTTTTGCTTAAATGTTACGAGACAGGCAAAATACAGTTATACACAAAGGTTAAATACTTTTAACAAGATTGGACTTAACATGATGGTGTTATATAGAACACCTTATTTTATATAATACATATACCAATAATATAATCACTTGTTTCTGCAGCTGGCATGCTACTATTATAAGGTATACTATGTACTGTACTACTAAGCACACATCCTCATAGCGAATGTTAGTAAAGACGCTTGATGTAGTTTTTTGTGCATCGTGTAGTAACTTGTGTGCAGTTATCTGACTTGAAGTTTCACCATATGTTCAGTTATGGGTGTCAAGAACTTTGTCATACAACCTTTGAAAGATATTCCAGTAGTTCAAGACAGTGAGAACAATGTTGACTCTCCTGACTCCCAGTAACTTTAGTGCTCCAGGTTCACCCTGTAAATGCCTTTGTTTCTTATCACTTGACTAGGATTTCTTCACTCCTCACCTTAAGACATTCTACCGCTCTTTTAGAAGCTCTATGAGGGCTAGGCAAAACTCCACAAAGAAGCGCAGTGTATCACAGCAACCAGAGCAGGTAGTATATGACTACCCCTGTTACGGCCTGTATGACATGCTTGCTTGGAACAAATCCGTGGTTTAGTTTTGTATTGATTTTTTTCCTACTTTATTTGTCCCTTAATCTGTTTTGTCATAAACCTGTTAGAACTTGTTTGTAGCTTAGTGCAAAGGTTAGCTTATAGAAGACTACAGTATTTATGATCATTTCTCTCATTTTAAAAGAATGATAAGAAAAACTCACTGAAATCTATTTATCATTAAAGAATGTAAATCATAAATATTTACATTCAGTGATGTGTGTGTTTCTTGCATGAGTAGAATTGGTTCTCTTCTGCTCTTGTTGGTGTCATGATTCAGTTTGTTGTTGCCTCATTAAGTTCAGTGTTGGTCAGTACTTTTCCTAACTGATGGGTTTTATATACAGTAAGTGATTTCAATGTTTCTAGGTACTGTACAAGTATTATTGTTTAAGATTGTTCTTATTACTCATCTTCATATATGACAAATTAGTACAGTACTGTAACCATGAAGTTATGTTTGAAGAATTAAGTGTCGGTGTTGCTACTTGAACTGTTGTGATCCTGTAGTGCAGTTTACAGGTTCTCTAACACACCTGAGGATATATTCATCTGGAGATACAGTACAGTACAGAGAGGAGAACAAGATGAAAAAAAAGCATTACTAATAAGTACAGTAAGGAACACAGGATATACAGAATACCCTCCCAATATTGGACTAATTCTTGCAAGCCTGTCTGATATTGGGAGGATTCTGTTATTGAGAATATCCAGCGTGGATTTATCTGTTATTGGGAGGGTTTACTGTATCAATTGCTGAATACTCGCAATTTAGCGGAAAGCGTATTTTTTTCCGTGATTATTTGCTCGATTTAGTGAACTACGGAGGGGGGGGGGATTACATTTTTACTTGTGCACTAAGAAATGTATATTCCCTTTGTGTTTGCCCTTTACTGTACGGTATAGTATAATGTTTATCATATTTGATTCATATTAGTTTTCATAAGGAATTTCTTTAATTCCTTTTTGTTTATTTTAGTTTTGAAGTGTGTAGCATAAAGTCTTGTTTCTTTTATTGTGATTATTATGTATACAGTGAACCCTCGAAGGTCAGGACCCAGTAAATCCGGATTTCGGAAGATTCGGACAGAAAAAATGGGGTTCTATGAAGCATTCCCAAAACAGAGCAAAGAATATTGTATGCCCGTGGGTGCTGGTTAACCGGTCGGTTGCGCTGGACACAGGTGCCAGAGGAGGTGTGAAACGGTTGACAATTGTTGTTTGTGGGAATATTATTTCATTCACTCTAATAATGATACAATGTTTATTATGTTATTATAGGTAAATGATGGTTTATTTAATTTGTTTATCGCTGTGCCCGTCACCGTTTTCAAATCGGACTACAAGATAGGTATTTCTCCCATATGTACTTCAATGATAAGCCTGGCAACGGGTGCTGGTTAGGGGAGTGACCACCTGTCATCTGCTCTCCTCCCTCCCTGTCGTATTTCACTGGATTTACTGTTATTATTGGTGTTTACTGATATAATAGTGTTTAATAGTGATTAATCATGGCATTGTAGCCAGGTTAGCTCATCACTGTAACCACCAGGCTACTGGGCCAAGCTGTGAGGTGTTACAGATGTTTTTCAACTCGTATTTTTGGGCAGATATATTTGTAACTTTCTTAATTTATTTTTACTCATTTACTTGTACAGTCATTGCTGCTACAACACGATAGTTGCGTTCTTGTGAAACCTCGCGCTATAGAAATTCACGCAATAAAAATAACAGGGCTTATGGAGAAAATGGGGTTAGGTGCAGATTACTCGAAATTGAAACGAATATAGTAGTTAGCCTAACACATCGAGCTTCTCTTAAGTGTTATAGCCTTTCTTTTACGTTCACCACTAGCTATTCGATCACCAGAACTCTTCTTGGAAAGATTCTTCCTCCCTTGTCTTTCCATATTTGTGGCTAACACAACAAAATTGGAGAAAATAGCAAAAATCACGGACACTTCACAGAGTAATCGACAGAGTCCGCGCGATTCAACTGAACACGTGATGTAAACAGAGAGCGTTGGTGTAAACCTTTATTAGTTCGCACTGCGAAACATTCTTTTTACTTATTTTTCATACAGTATTTATGGGTAACATAAATTTGACCCCCAAAGAAAGAAATTTATAGTGTCTCTCAAAAAACACTTCACAAACAAAAGACACAAATCATTTGAACATGTGATGTCGAACGTGAACTGTAAACATTGCATAACCCCGCGCCACACTACACTTAAAACGTCGAGGATGAAATCGTGTTATAGCCAACATTCATATGCAAAAGTTCGCGTTTTACATACAGCTTTCCTCTATTCATTAATTGCGTTACGACCAATTTGCGTTGACAAAACACGCGTTGTAGCAGAAATGACTGTACTTGCCATCCTAAATACATTTTATGATAAAAGTAAAAGAAATAATTGTCCTAAGAGCAAACCTGTACTCAAATGTACTGAGTTAATTACTAAAAGTTTTATGTCTAGTGCAAACAATGTGATGTTTATATTAAAATTAATTGCTGTCTTGCAAGAATTCCAGCATTTTATAAGCTAAAACTTAAACTCCTTCTATTTGACTGATAACTACACACTTGGTAATCTCCCTGCCTAACACCTGTCCTCCCAGCCAGGGTGAGGGTAGTTTTAGGCTTAACTTATATAATGTCACTAGACTTAGCAGGGATGTAACTTGCATTGCTGGAATCCTTGCAAGACCACAATTAATTTTAATATAAACATCACAGTTTGCACAAGAGATAAAATCTTTTGTCCTCTAGTGTAGTACATTTGAGTACAAATGAGTACAGTAATATACTGCTTAAAATTATGGCTTTCACAGAAAAAGGTTTGTATAACTAACCCCAGTGGTGAAGATGTTATGTACTCTATTTTTGGTGTTATTTATATTATTTTTTGTTTTATTCATTTAGTACATTTGGACAATTGACTTTTTGAGACAGGTGGTCTCCCTTTTAGTCTGGATCATTGGGGGTTCACTGTATTGTTGCTTTGGCATAATTAGGCTGTTCGCAGATCTAAATAATACAATACTGCACAGTATAAATCAGTGACATAAGATTTGGAACATTTATAAATCCTGAACCTTTACAAGTATTCCAATTAAAAACTTCCATACTTTATCATCAAAATATACACAAGAAACTTTTAGTTTTAATTTTTAACAGGTGGTGAGTTTTTCCAAAACTTCTAAAAAATAAAAATAAATCACTATTTTATCTTCTGTATGTAAGTGTTCAATTTAAGTCACAAAACTAGCAAAAAATGTCCAGAAATGCCAACCAAACCTTAATGAGAGGATCCTGGTGGTGACGTGCGATTCTTCGGCTGTAACGTCTTGGTGTTTTAGTCATCTTAAGTTGTATTTACTTCACATGATGCTGAAGAAGACAAGGTGAGGGCATATGAATGTAATTAACTGCCATGGGTCACGATGTTAGTCTGTTCCTATAAACAATGGTGTAAACTGTACATTAGGAGTTACCATGTCAAGTTTTCTTGGTTCATTTATTGTCAATATAAGAACATAAGAATGGAGGAAACTGCAGCGGGCCTATTGGCCCATACTGGGCAGTCCCGTTTACACCCAACCCCTATTGCTCATATGAGCATCCAACCTATGTTAGAAGCAATTCAGCGTATTCGAGTTAATGATGATATTTGGTAACTTGTTCCATTCATCCACTACTGTTTCCAAACCAGTGTTTACCTATTTCACGCCTAAATCTAAATTTGTCTAATTTAAAACCATTGTTACGAGTTCGCTCCTGGTTGGATAGTTTGAGTACCTTTGTAATGTCCCCTTTGTTTAGCCCTGCCTTCCACTTATACACCTCTATCAGGTCGCCCATGCTCTACGTCTCTCAAGATGCTTTAACCTGTCTCTATACTCAAGGTTCCTAAAGCCCGGGATTAGTCTTGTCATTCTCCTCTGAATTCTTTCCAAGGATTCTATATCCATTCTGTAATATGGTGACCAGAACTGAACTGCGTAATCCAGGTGTGGTCTCACAAGAGCAAGATACAGTTTTAGGATGACCTCGCTAGTCTTGTAACTAACACTCCTTTGTATGAACCCAAGTACTTTATTAGCCTTGTTACGAGCAAAAACACAGTTTACTTGGCTTAAGGTTCCTACTTATCATTACTCCTAAATCTCTCTCGCGAGTCGGATTTCTCATGGCATCGTTGTCATCTGGTATCTGGTTTCCCTGTTTACATCTCCTATACTGAGTACTTTACATTTGTCGACGTTGAATTTCATCTGCCATTTTTCAGACCATTCGAGAAATTTGTTTAGATCTTCCTGTAGTTTTGCCGAGTCCTCGTCAGATTTGATAACACGTCCTATTTTAGTGTCATCAGCAAATTTACTTATGTTGCTGTCGATGCCGATATCTATGTCGTTTATGTATATAATAAATAATAATGGTCCAAGTACTGAGCCTTGGGGAACTCCACTTGTGACGTTGCTCCAATGGGACTTATAGTGCCGTTAATGCTCACTGCTGTTTCGTCCCTAAAAATCACGCCCTAATCCATTTAAGGATGTCACCTTGATGCCATGAGCCTTTACCTTCTAATTAGTTCGTGGGGGACCTCAGTTGAGCAGCTGCTTTAAGTCGAGATATACCACATCATAATTGTGCCCCTCGTCCACCGATTCGAAAACTGATGAAAAGAATGTTAATAGATTAGTTAGGCAAGAACGTCCGCTTGTGAAGCCATGCTGGGAATCATTGATCAATCGGTGCTTCTCCAGGTGATTTCGAATAGAGTTTGAAATGATTGCTTCCAGTAATTTGCCTACTATTGATGTTAAACTGATTGGGCGGTAGTTAGAGGATAGTGATCTATCCCCCTTCTTGAAAATCGGTATTACATTCGCTATCCTCCAGGATTCTGGTACTACACCTGTTTTTA